CCAAATAAAGTTTTCTTTGTTATGATTTTTTTTAATTCTATAGCTTATTACTTTATGTTACATCCTAATGAATATTATCTTATTGTCTAGAATAAAATTTTCTATTATGTTTTATAAACTTAAAAGTCAATATTTGAACACATAGTAATAATAATAGTAAACAGACTATGCTATACATTGAGACAGTAAGACCTTGACCCGAAATTCAATTCACATCATTCAGAGTAGACAGAGAAATAATATCAAGAAGAGAAATACATATTAATTTGTTCAAATTACGTTATTATTACTATTATTAATAATAATGATTAAAGGGTGGATCTTTAGACTTCGTTTTCTTCAAACTTTAGTTCATAACATTTTCCACACTTGTCGAAAACACAGATCATTTGGATTGTAAGATGTTATTGGAAATTTTTTAGATAACAATGACATTGTGACTATGATACCTGAATTTAATTTGAAACTTCACACATATGCTTTATTGTTCTTTAATTTTATTTTTGTTTCCAACTTTATTCCTTCTTAAATTTCCGCCACTAATGTTATTGTTACCGTTGTTAGATAACAGTAAAAAATTTTACATTTAACCAAGTGTTATCTCACACTTTTCTATTTGCTTTATGACTGGATTAACTGCTGATATTTCTTTATCTATTTACTTCATTGTCGATAACGTGTTCAATTAAAAAAACACCAGCAATAATAAGGTGAACACAACTGATATTACATTAATTGGCCAACTGTTTTTAATGCAAATTAATATGTGATAATAGTTGAAATGCATGTTTGGTTACTGGGTTCATTTTCTTAGTATCTCCATAACATTTATAAATATTTCCAAACTTGAACTCAGAAGCTTCAGATCTAATTAGTCAAAGTTTTCACTGTAGCTGGAAATTATGTGGTGTTTAGTGGGAGTAAAATATTTTATTGTCTAGTATTTAAGACTTTGGACTCCAATTAAGTTTAAAATAACGATTTAAGAAACTTGTATTTAAGATGTCTGTCAACTGAGTGCTATTTAATTCTAAATGAATCTATCCTTGTTTAGACATATATCATACCATACAATGACGTGAGTATATGTGTATCATTAGTATCCATCTAATAATTTTGTACTGGTTTCTATTAATTAACTGTGACCTACCATAAATGTACATTTTCTACATCCTCACCAAAATGTGCATCTGTTTATCTATTTATTATACATTATCTAAGGATATATAATTCAGTCAGTGATTTCGGCTTTCAAGTCGAATTCGTGTTTCATACGCTTCATTTACATGCATGAAATATGATATTTCTAACATATTTCGTATTCGACTTTCAATGTCACGTTTCCAGCTAGTCTAATTGTATAAATAATCCGTCTATATATTATATGGGATATAAAAATGGAATAGATTAATTATAGAGTCAGATGCTCCTACAAAAATATGGTTCAATTAATGGGAAAAAAACAAACAGAAAAAGGTTCAGAATCTTCGACTCTGTTAATTATGCTAAATACTACAAGTATTATGCACTCAAACTCAGTTTACTTTACGGGTACATTACTATAATCACTGAAAATAACCTTTTTTGACTTCCTTAATGGTTTATTATTCATGATATATGAGAATTTTAGCCTATTGTTAAAAGTTATCACATGCGTTTTTCATGTCTAGAAATCGGAAGTAATGACCTTTCTTCAATAATATCGAATACTAATGAAACCCATTGTACAAACTGTCAATAAATGTGATGTCCTGGGTTTGAATCCCGCGGGGCAAGATCGTGGATATGCATTGCTGAGAAATCCTACAGTAGGACTGTTATGTTTTTATGTCCGGCTTTTATCACGTGATCTATCCATCATTCAAAATACGATTTATACAATCTTAGCACTATGCCAAAAAAATGACGTTCGACCGGTATGAGCAGCCTAGCGTCCTTATTGGTCTTATGTCCGCCTAGCCTGTCCGCTTGAGTTCAGAACACAATACCAGCACCTGCAATATTAATCATTTATTTCAAACACACTAGGTTTATATATCAACCAGATAGACCACAACGTACCATAAAATAAAAAATAGCATTTGTACAAGATTTGGCCAAATGCGGCTGTGAATGTGGGAGGCAGTAGTCAATAAACTGAACATAGCTTAAGAACCCTAAATCGTACATAATAAATTATAGGTCAAAATAAAGCTTATAATAAGAGGAATATAAATATACATAATCTAATTGTTGAATAGTTGTAGCATAATAATATATAGATAATATTAGTCAATTAATGTCTCAGAAGTTACGCGTGATTTAATATTCGCTCAGATATAACAAGGATGAAACGGCCTTCCGGTGCTTCCAGGTTTTCCATGGTAATCTAGCTTTAATTAACTCATGATCTCAACTATTAAATGTAATTTTCATTAACCATAGTTATTTATATTCACTTACTGTTGTTTTGCTTGTATCTTCCCATTGAGGTTTAAGACTGCAAATGATCAGTCTGTTATTGGCATATGTTTATACTGTGCGTATGCCTCGATATTGCCTTAATTCACAAGCCTTTATCAGCAATGATGGTTAGTGGCTAGCAGTGGAATCCAGTTTGACGCGCGTTTTGTCCTGTCTGGGACTCGTCAGCTGGATGTACCTGCATCTGAGAGTTGATGTTCACTCGGGGACTCGAATTCAGTACCACTCACTTCAAATGCCATCGCGTTATCCACTTAGCTACTGAGTCCTGATAGCCACTTGTTCGTTCAATGGGGTGAAATTTAATTCACTTCGTATTGTTTTACTTGAATCTGCCTATTGATGTTTAGGACTATAATTGATCAGTCTCTTACAGGCATATGTGCTTACTGTGCATATTCGCTCGATATTGCCTTAATTCACAAGCATTATAAGTAAAAATGGATAGTGGCTAGCAGTGGAATCCAGGGCGCGCGTTTCGTCCTGTTTGAGACTCGTCAGCTGGATGTATGTGCATCTCAGAGTTATTTATCTCCAATAAAATTAATAATATTCCATTACCTGCTGTGTTTGTAAACACTTTAATTTGATTTAAAGATACTAGAAAGAAAATTTATCATTTATTTAGATTTAAGCAATAAGAATTTCTTTTCAAACTGAAATTATAATAAAACAATTAGAATCAGCATACACTAAATGTACGTACTACTATCATTTATCCAATACATTTTATATGAGTTTATATTGTTGTTAGCACAAACTTTTGTGCTAATCTATTTTTCCCTAACCTAAATATGTTTTCCTATCATGTTTCTTTTTCGCCTACACAGTCTTGGTGCAGAACAGCAACTAAATATTACACATAATCATCTATTTCTCTCACCTATGTAGAAATTACAAAATTCACAGTTACTATCAATTAACAAGAAAGAGATACCTAGAAAAAAAGGATAAGTAATTGGATGAAATTGTAAAATTTTTAATTCTCTCCCCTACCCCATTAAAAAATTTCCTATCTTCTATTTGTGGACTCCACTAGTCGATTTACTTTTCAAGTCATAAAAAAACACATACAATTTCCTCCCTTTTCGTAATGCTTTTACATATGGTGAAGTGGCTTTTGCTGATGCAATCAATGCCAGGTATCGTTTATTCACATATATAGATTTGTAGTGACCAGGTTAATTGTTGGGTTACCAGGATTCAAAGCGCCATTTCCTAGGCCAACACAAAATGTTTTTCTCATACCTTATTCATTTAATGTTTAATTGGTAGAAAACCAACTAAACACTGATAAAAATGTGCAACTGTGTACGTATGTATGACTATACGTTTTCATACAAAGTATATTGAAATAAACATAAGATTTCTCTGATAGATATATTGTTGTAAAGATTAATTAAAGACTAATATCTTTCTCTGGTTTTGTTACTAACTTGATTACATAGATAAATATAACAACCTGTAACCATATTTTATATTCCATTCAATCCATGCATCGACCAAACTTGTCTGAAGTGAATAATTATACAAAGTGATAATGCGAAATATCAAAATGAATGTTATTGAAACGCTTCAATAAACTTACCGTTGTTTGACAAAGATATTATTATTATATCCATTCAAATTATATCTACATTCTATACAGTATATTTATCAAGTTGTTCACAGATTATAAAACATAAAAATTACTGCTATACAAAATCTATATTGCGCCAAATATTTCTGATTCAAAATTGTCCAACTTAAACAACAATAACATCAAAAGTTAAATACATATACGTTACATATAGTCATTACATTTATAAATCAACTAACTTCTCTTATACATAATTCCATTTAAATTTCTCACATTTTGTATAATGACCTTATGGATTGTGATTTTTTTATTCATTAAAAGTAGTGTTTATCTACTTCAACAGGTATTACATAGGTATACATATATATAATCTGAAATGCAAAAACATTTCTACTAATAGTACTTTTAACATTAAAACTATTTGAATACTGTTATCAGTACCATAGAGAATTTACTTTGCAATTGTAACTATACAATTAACTTTGTACTAAAAGTCAAAATATAAACAAACAAACACGTGATAATATGATTACAAAAATTTTTTTAAAATATAATTACTAATTATTTTAATACATTGGAATTCATTTATTAGTATTTAAGTAATATAGTTTCCATTGTTACTTTTCATTCAGTATCGTAAAACATCTATACATATAATGAAAGACATTTGAATGAACTACATGCATATATAAATAAACATCGGAATTCTGGTGAAAAATTAATTTATAAAGTATATTTATGTATATTTTAATAGTTATTTGAACAATTAATTATCTACACTATGAGTATAAACACTTTGAATAATCACTAATCATATACCCGATACGGATCATTTTACAGTTTTTATTGTATCATTAAAATTCTACTGTTTACACAAGAATATCAATAAAACGAGATTGATCCAAAAAATCAAGACAACATTCAATAAGACGAAAATTGTGAAATCAAATAAAACAGGATGATTGATTTACCTTTTCCATGTCGGAATGAACAATGTATGGTAAGACTTTCTATTTACATGTTATAAAAATAAATTTTTCTTATGTTAAATTATAAATAAATCGTCTATCATACTTGTTTAATTGAATGCAAGCTTTCAGTGATACCGTTTGTAAAAGTAATTTTTTTCTAAAATAGGAATCATGAAAATAATTGGTAAGAAACTCTAGGATACAGGTATATCCAGATAACGAGTCTCGAATAAGATGAAACGTATATCGTTACTAACAACTAACTAAATTTATTAAAACAAATAGTCCCTTTGATAAATTTCGATAATGATATTAGAAGACGAAGATTATTAGAACTATGTGATATATTAGCGCAATACATTTCGAACAATCTGGTCTGACTAAGTGATAATGTCCAGTCAATACACTTAGGACTAACATATGTCAATAGAAAATGATTAATTATGATCGTTACAACATCATCAACGAGAAGATTCAAACACAAACTTTCAATTGTCTCATTTGAAAATATTCTAAAGATATTTCAACATTATTTTTCACAAATTTTATATAATTCATTGGGAATAATTCTTAAGCAGAAATCATAAAAATGAATGATAAATAAATAAATGCCCCCCTCCGAAGAGTATTAAGTCGGGCAATCATTTTCAATAACCGCTTCAGTGAAACAATTATTATTATTGTATTACATTAGATAAAGTATCAGCGTTGAAGTTAAACATTAACGCTGTTGAATGACGGCTCCGTGATCTAGAAGTTAAGCGTTACTGCGCGAGACCTAAGGCCCTAGGTTCGAATCTCGCGAGCGGGATCGTGGATGCGCATTTCTGAGGAGTCCCACACCAAGAAGAAACGGTAGTCCAGTGCTTCCAGGTTTCTCATGACACTCTTGCTTTAATAGATTCATGAATTCAACTGTCAACGTTGAATCCATTCATAAGTTGAAAATGATAAATTTTACGTCGATTAAATAGTTCAAAATACTAACAAATTAAAATGAAGTTATTGGTAATATTGAGAATAAATTATACATAAAGGGTAAGAAAATGAGTTCTAATCATTAAGATTTTATATGAAATTTTTATACAAAGTGGGAATTGTTCCATAGTGCTTATTTGAAATATAAATAGTAACAATAATAATGGTAACAATAACAACAACGGAAATAGTTATTGACAAGAACATGTAAAACAAGAAACACAACTGTATAAATTAGTATATGAAAAATGTCATGGAAGGAAGTGTAAGTCATAATGAAGAGTTAAGGATAAAATTGAAACTAAGAATGAAACGGCCCCAATCTATACCAAAATAAACAAAAATGATGAATCTATCTCTTTTTTATATATGAGTCAGGTTAGCTAGAATTAGCGGCAAATGATTCAGCTGTGTAGCGTGAGCATAATCTTGCGCCTTTTGGTAGTTTACTGGGAAACTGATAATGTAACTGAGAAAGTATCTTTAAATTTTAATGTCATGTCCATTATCAATTAGGTGGGAAAGAATGGTACCATTAACAGACTTCGTGGCGTCTTTTCCTAACCACACCGGTACGTGTTCACGAGAACATAAGGATAAGAATATTAGAGTATTGCTAATGTAGCTAGCCTATTAAGAGTATCATGAAATGATCCGTTTCCCAGTTTGGGTAGAAAATGATTCAATTGACGTGAAGTTTGCTATCTTCAACTTACAAAATAAATTAATTCAATTTTAATACTTAAGATACTGCAATACAAGAATAATAATAACACTTTCGGAGTTTATGACCATACCAAACTTGCTGTTTGTTTAGACATTCATAATCATATAAACTCCCTCTTATTGTCACTTCCAATGGTGTCTACTAGCTTATATGCACGTACTAAAATTTGATATTAAATGGATCTATTAAGAGAAATATTAATTCGCCATTCTCATAACAGAAAACAGAACATAGATGTTTCAAATTTTCTTCCAAAATATTCGATATGTAAACAATTGCTTGTTCATTGAGTTTTATTAAATTCATCAACGCAGAAAGGTTTAGATCATTTTTATCCAGTCAGAAAACAATACTGTCAACTTCATATAACTGTGATAACCTCAGTTTCTAACAATTACTTAAGTAATATTGTATATCACTGCATCATTTATAAATTTTCCTACTTTCTTGTATTCAATATGAGATTTTCTTACTTTATTTTATTGATCAATTGTTTTTGTAATTATCATTAAGTAACTCATAACAGTAATTCTTCATCTTAAGAGAACTGTCTGTATGAACCTATCCTTTTTTATAATTCTCTTACATTTATTTCATTCAACTAACTCAATAGTATTTCTAATCTTGGTCAATACTTTATATCATAGTCATAAAGTATGCACACATTTTTGCTTGAAATTCAATGTAATCGTATAGAATTATCTGTGAATGTTTAAAATGAATCTGTGAAGTGAATGAATTAATACTCAGACGAAAGTAAACTTCATCTTCTCATCGTATTATTGAAATTTATCATAAAGACTCATTCACTTGATATTGTTTGGCTTGTATCTTCCCATTGAGGTTTAAGACTGCAAATGATCAGTCTGTTATTGGCATATGTGTATACTGTGCGTATGCCTCGATATTGCCTTAATTCACAAGCTTTTTGCAAGCAATGATGGATATTGGCTAACAGTGGAATCCAGTTTGACGCGCGTTTCGTCCTGTTTGGGACTCGTCAGCTGGATGTACCTGCATCTGAGAGTTGATGTTCACTCGGGGACTCGAATTCAGTACCACTCGCTTCAAACGCCATCGCGTTTTCCACTCGGCTACTGAGTTCTGATAGCCACTTGCTTGTGCAATGGGGTGAATTTAAATTCACTTAATATTGTTTGGCTTGTACCTCCCCATTGAGATTTAAGAATGCATGAAGATTAATTGTTTTAATTATTTATTTTTCTATTTATCTCTAGAATAATAATACAAATACAATTAATAACGGTAATTCTTCTATGAATACAAATTCCTATAAAGATACTACTCTAAATCCTAATATTTTACCTTTATTAAAGCATCAATTACCTAGACAAGAATTAAATGAATCATATACAAAGAAAAAATGTCAATATCAACCTAAATCATCATGTTCCATTACATCGAATCATTCATTTAAATTTAATCAAGATTATAATAAAAATAAATTAGACAATGTAATTGAACATTCAACTATTCAACAAATAAATAATAAATTAAAATGTCATTATATTCAAAATAAATTAGATACAATACATAATCCTATTGTTTATTATTCTAATTTAACAACAAATGATCAAAAATATAAAAATATTTATAAAACATCATGGAATCATCAATATAAACGAATTTCTACATTAAAATCTAGAAAATATAAAAAGAAAAAAAATTTATTAAAATCTACTAATAAATTTAATAAAAATAATTTAATTCATTTAAAATCAAAATTAATGAAAAATGAATATTTTAATAAAAATTTACCATATAAATCTATAAATCCTATACATAAAACTAATCAAATTAAAACAAGAAACATAGAAAACTTTTTACATCAAACAGTCCATACTACTACTACTAATAATAATAATACTAATAGTAATAATAATAGTAGTAGTAATAATAATAATCAAGATGGTGACAATCTTCACAATAAAATTTTCGAATCAATCAATACAATTTATAGTAACTATGCATTTAATCCTTTTAAAACATCTATTACTAATCAGAATAATAACTTTGAAAATAAAATCAATGATATTTTAAAGCCCAGAACTTCATCAAATGAAATTAATCAAATTGTTCATTGTAGTAATCTTCTTAAAAAGAATAATTATTTATCGTCTTCTTTGTCATCATCATCGTCGTCGTCGTCGGGATCATCGTCAATATTAACATTACCACAATTATCATCACATTTATCACCATTACCAATAAAATCTTTATATGATAATGAAAAATTATATTTAAAACAAAATAATATTAGAAAACATTTTCAAAAATTAACAAATTCAATATTTAATTATAATTATACATCGAATCCGATTTATTCCAATTCACATTATTCAATAAATAATGATAAACCATTAGATTTACGTAATCCATTACAAATTCACTTGAATACTATGTTATATAAAAATAAAAATTACAATAATAATAATACTAATGATAAGTTATTTAATGAGATCGAAAAGCTTGGCAAAGCATATTTATCAATGGGAAATTTTAATTCAAACGAAATTTGGTCAACAATCTTTACATTATTAAATAGGAAACTGAATCAATTTTCTCAAATTAATCAAAGTAAGTTTCATTCGACTTTTTTTAAAACTAATTTATATGGTTAATTGTTTAATATAAAGTTGATTATGTCAATCTGTAGTGTGTGTGTGTGTGTGCGCGCTACTTTTATCGACATGAGTAGTATATAACAATAGTCAGGATTAGAATATTTGGCAGCAGAACATCAAGAAGGAAAGAACAGGAACAGAAAGTAATTAGTATGAAAATGCAGGGACAATGAAGTTTTTGTAATCTTATGTTCAAATACATTCGATTGTCTCCACTTGTTTTGTCATTCGCTACAAATCCTATTCCAATGTTATTCAATATAAACTGCGTTAAACTAATGTTGAGTAATTCAATATTTGAGACTAATTAACAAAAATCACCTCAGATTTATTTTGAAAATATAATTAAAATTAATAAAACTTTAAAATAAATTACTATCCTATTTTATCTATGATCAATTTATACGTTCTGATATGCCGACTAGTTTGCAATCTTAGTCAAATGATGCTGAATAATATTGTACAGAAAACCCTAATCGAGTTTGACACTAATCGAAATAGTTAAACATATGTATAGATCTACATAACTAAATAAGTCATCGTGAACTAAATTTTACAAGGTACAACAATAGATCAATTTCACGTGGAAATTCACCTATTGTTTTCAGAAAATGGGTAACTCACTATTTTGTCATTTAGATTCAACAAACAAAACACAATTCAAATGGTTTATTTATTTACAATGTAATTAAACTGTATTACTTCTACTATATCTATTGAATTGTGGATGATTGAAGAAAGCTATTCAAGCGCATTAAATGTTGGTTTAATGTTTGTCGGATCTGTCAAGCAAGTCATTTCTGCAATGTAGAATAGGTTCAAACTTTTTCGTTAAATAAAATTAATGTCAAGATGTTCCAGTAGGTTACGAATAGCGAAAAGTGAAATGTACTTGTTGTTTATTCAAAAATAGTCAGTATCGAATTATATAGTCCTAAATACCTCTTAACAACTTCAAAAAACCGTAATGTGATTATTTGCCCCAATAAATAGATTAAACCTGGCTGACAGAGGTCCATTAGCACTAATGGTATTCAGAGTAACAGTTGATAATCTTATGAATAAGGCTCTAGCCTATTTTCTTACTCCTAAGCTTCATTACAGTAATTCAAATCAAAATCAGAGCTCAATTTTCTCATATTTTTCACTTCAAAAACACTTTTATAAATAATATTTGGTTTTACATTGAGAGATTCTTGAAGAAACATTGCACTGACTGTACTAGATTGAAATTTTAATAAACAGTTGAAGTAAATGAAATGTTTCATATTTTACTTTAACCTAGGAATTTCGATGTTTTTCCTTACTACTGAGCCTAACATGTAAACATATTTAAAATATGAGCGATATCAATACATTATAAACATATTTACTATAATCTGCTACAAACTTAACGCCTTCAACTAACTCTGAGAAGTCAGACTTATTCTTCAGGAAGGCAGGATAATACACTGAGTCAATCAGAATTTGGGTAAGTGACAGATGCACGCGATTGGCCACGAGAGTTTTTACATTTTTTTAGGAATGAGATATACATTATTGGTGATTTTATTTTTTAGGAACAGACTAATAAGTATTTATGTGAGTATACATACAGAACGATTGGATTGGTCAATAGACTTCCTTTATCACTCTGACTATTTTGACCCGAATAGCCATTGGACTCGTGTTTAGAAAAACGGTGTGTCAGTATCGAAATCGGACATCAAATAATACAACAGTCATATCTGAATACCAATGAACTACTAATGTTAAAATTACTATCATAATAACTAATAGCGCATTGTCTTTTTAAAAATCCTGTTATATTATCTGAAATTTAGTTTGATTTCAAAAATTATGCACACATTACAAAAGTTCATGTCGTTTTAGAATCCTATATAATAAAGCTTTGCTAAAGAGACTTGCAATGACTTGGATTAGTTTCCTAGAGAAATTAATTACTGTAATAGATTAATATTTTCAATTTTACGATATTAGGCCATGCATGTATCTCAAAGTTAATTTTCTTGCTGAACTTTAACGCATCAACAACTTCACGAGGAATAATTTAACATAAAACGATTAAAGTAATGATATTAATTCAAATAACTGTAGTGAAATACTTTATTCTAACATATTCAACTCTTGATTAGAATGCAGTATGAGATTTTTTTAAAGACACGAATCTTAATTCATCTTGTATTGTTTGTTTAAATCTTCCAGTTGATGGTTAGGATTGCAATTCATCAGTCTCTTGTTGATATATATGCATCCTGTGCGCATTGCCTCGATAATGCCTTAATTCATAAGCATTATATGCAAAGATATATAGTGGTTAGCAGTAAAATCCAGGATGCGCGTTTCGTACTATTCTGAACTCACCAGCTGTATGTACCACCCATCTTTGCATATAATGCTCGTGACTTCAGGCAATGTCGAAGCCATCCGCACAAGATGTATATATGTCAATAACAGACTGATCTATTGCAGTCCTAAACATCAGTGGGAAGATTTGAACGAACAATACGGAAAGAATATAAACTTCACCCGACTGCACAAACGAGTGCCTATTAGGACTCAGTAGCTAGGTGGATAATGTGATGCGATTTGGAGCAAACGGTACTAAGCTCGAGTCCCAGAGTGAGCATCAACTCTGAGACGCAGGCACATCCAGCTGATGAGTCCTAAGTAGGACGAGACGCACATCTTAGTTTCCAGTGCTAGCCATCTTCTATCTTTGCTTACAACACAAATTTTAGTTAAAATATCATTTATTTAATGTTCAATGTGTAAGCCAATTTATTTGCAGTAATATTCAGATCAGGGTGTGACCGAGTCTTTCCCATCTTTAAATTGAAAAGATATAAGAAACTGAACTTACTATTTCTCCTTGTGAATTCTAATGCGAACAAACGGAAATAATATTTATAATGATTTCAACTGTGAAAATACTTTAATTTCCACAAATTTTCCCAACAAATAACAATCATTTGTTCACTAGCGATACGCTTCAAGATTTAAATCCTGGAGTTCTAGTAAGAAGTGGTGGCCAGTGGAGTTCGACCGTTTCGGGTTTGAGACAGTTACGCAACATAGGTAATGGATGAAAAGCTATGCAAGATGATGGATTGATTGAAGCAAGACATTCACATTCAGTGATCTAGAGGTTAAGCGTACATGCGCGAAATCAAATGTCCTGGTTTCGGTTCCTGCATCTAAGATCATCAATCCTCACTGCTAAGCGGTCTCGAACTAGAACCAGACGGCTATCTCGTACTTCCAGGTTTTCAATGGTGGTCTACTGAACATCAGTTCGTGGTTTTAAATGTGGATGTAATATTTATCTAATTTTTTATGTTGGTTCTCTATTTCGATTCTAACATTTTCGTCAACAGGAATTTTTTCATTTATACATCGATAAATTAGTATACATACAACTCGTTCATCAAATCAACGACCATATCCAAGCAATTCCACGAAGTGCTTCTATCACTCTGTTCATCGGGGAGGCTTTTCAGCTTACAAATATCATACCATTACTTCAATGTTATCTCAATCCAGTTTTCAATAGCTGTTTCATATTTTACGTCTTGAACAAGAAGAAATTTTTCTCCTCAGTTTGGTAATTTTTATGCCACCATAATGTATTTTTATTATTAAATTAATATGTTAAACTGTATTAAACTTGAACAGGTGAATACTCACACTACCCTCTATTTTTGAAAGTATTGTAGTAAGCTGGAACTATTTAGTCATTTTGTTGTACTATTGTAGTGAATAAAACACGGGTGGGGACAATCGAATGTATTTAACACAAAATTACATGACTTGTTAATAAAATCTAACAATTGTAATGTAAATGCTTAATTTGCAAAATGTCCACCAATTGTCTCAAAATGACTCAGACTTCATTGTTCTTGCATTTTCATACAAATTAAATCTTATTTCTATTCTTTACTGTTCGATCCTCTTGTCTCTCTGCTGCCAGACCTTCTGTTCACGACTAACATCATATACTACTTATGTCAATATAAGTAGCACACACCACACTATTTACTAGTCAGTTGCTAGTGTAATGTACTTTGTGTTTGTTTAACTAAACATTTTACTTTTTTTAATTAAATGATGTATTAATGAAGTATTTGGAATACTTCAATCATTATACCGGTAGGAAATAATTATAACGCAACACTACAAATGAGTATGTTTATAAAATGTGTATTAATAGAGAATAAAACTATTCTGAGATTTTCTATTCTCATCATTATACCTTTTTATAGAAATATTTTGTGAAAAATATTCTACAGTTCAGATGTGATACAAAAAACTCTTTTTAACTAAATTCCATGTTAATCAGAAGCATAGAGTTACATACTTTTAAGATATGTATTTACACCATAAAGCTGATTCTCTTCATTAACATACAAGTTAACAGTCATTTGGTTTATAAAACATAAATAATATATTTGTACTTTTTACTCATTCTATAAAAAATATAAGGACTGTAAACATACCTCAAGATCCACGGAAAATTAGTTTCCTTCATAAAGTAATATTAACTGAAACTAAGAAGCATTGATTAATTGTTTCGGCTAAGTTCTGGATTTCTTTGACGTACTAACCCAAAATTTAATATGATATGTAATACAAAACTTTTGAACGTCTGCATAATCATGATATCTAAAACCTGTTAAGTAATTTTATTCACGCTGATTTTTTTCAAAATAATTGAAGGTATAATCATTTTATGACATTGGAGATTAGATAACAAAACAAATTCCTGCCGGTTTAGCGAAACACTAACTATGTGGACTTAATACCTTAATGGATAACTCATTGGAGTTTAAAAAAGAAGGAACTAGGTTTGAAGTCACAGTGTAAACATTTACACTAAGATGAAATACATTCACCCGAGATAACCTAAATAGGATACAACATACATACTGGATTCCACTGATGATCACTCTTCAACTTAAAAAAAAATAATTCAAGATCTTATTATTGAAATTCATTTG